AGATAATATAAAATTATATATATATAACACTAATTTTAAGATAAATTTAATAAATTTAAAATTATTTTGATATAATTTTATACTTTTGAAATTGATAAATTTCATTTATACGCAGCTCATCTTAGGCTTCGTTTGTGATAGTTTTCATACTGCTTTTTAAAACGACTTTCTAATACAAAAATTTTAAATTAAAAAATTTTCGGTACTAAAAAGTTAATTTAAAAAGCAAGAAGAAACCCATCCCAAACAAATCCTTACTTTATTGGTTGGAAGCTTTAGACTTGATTTGTGATGACTTTTTTACTGCTTCTTAAAACAGTTTTTTAGTACAAAAATATTAATCTTGATACTAAAAAGATGCTTTAAGAAGTAGTAAGAAAGTTAGGTTGATCCTTATGTATGTGATGTGATCATGTGGATATGAATTATCTTAATTGACTTAAATGTCCTAAAAAAATTAATAAATTTCATTTATCTTATGTAATGTACTTATTTTGACCAACCCGGATCTATCTATTTGAATAATATAGGCCTGTAATGGAATCTGATTGCAGTGTACTGGGGAAATCTGTATGAGAATTCATCTTGACTTTTTTTGAGATTTTTAATGCTATATTATAGTTAATCTATGGATTAAATAGTTTATTATATCAGATAATCTTAATTTATTAGCTCTTAAATATCAGTTCAAAATGAATACTGCGTCACTAAATTAATATTGTTAAGGAGAACTTTTATTTGGTCCGGTAACCTGATGTAGCTCTACGTTCGGACACCAGTAAAATAGTGCTACGTGTTTTTACTTTTTATCCCACGGCCCGTCAACCCGACCCGGAACGGCCCCGAGATTGCTATGTTCGCATATTGCTAGGAATTGCTTAGTATTACTAGGTATTGGTCAATTTTAATCGGCAATAACGAGAAATACCATTCTGTGAAGACTAATACCGAGTTTTGCTAAAAACTCGGTATTGCTCGGCATTACTCGGTATTGCTAGGTATTGGTCGATTTTGCTCGGCAATAACGAGAAATACCATTATGTGAAGACCAATACTGAGTTTTGCTAAAACTCGGTATTGGTCTTCACAGAGCAGTATTTCTCATTATTG